CCCTAATAGCAATGGCCTCCACCCTAACAGCAATGGCCTTCACCCTACTAGCGATGGCTTCCACCCTGCTAGCGATGGCCTCCAACCTAGAAGCGATGGCCTCCACCCTAGAAGACTGAATCATGATGACAAAAAACCATGTTTCAGTCGTCGTCATTCGATTCTCCCAAACATGAACTCCCACTCTTCCCTTCAGACCTCCACTCTCCTTGGGACTCCTGCATTTAAGCCCCTCCCCTTGACCGTTTTGCGACCCAGTATCCGATGTCCACCAAATCATCACCCGAAGATGCACATTGTACAATTAGGTAGACCAATTATTGCAACTTCTGCAACTTCCGAGAACAATTGGTTTATTTAAACAACAGCTTTTGGCTCAGGACACCCACATCTCTTTTTGGCACATCCTCACCAACACCTGCTCAGACCGCTTCCATCTTGCTCAAGACCAGCGCTCAGCATTCATGAGTCGAAGCATTGGTAGACCTGCGGCAAACTTCAGTGAACATTTAAAAACAAAGACTGAGAAGAATCCAATAAAATAAATGATGATATTATAATGCTGTAGGTCTCTGAGGCAGGCCGGGCAGCACAAATGAAAAGCCGTCAGACCGCCTGATTTGTGCATCCAGCTCAAGGTCAGTCGACGTACATGTTCTATCATAAGTCGCCAAAGCGCTTGGTAGAGAGACTGTGAACACCTGCACATTCAAAGATGACGTCGACTCACCTGCTTGAACACCTATAGCTTCCTGACTCTTCCCGGTCTGAACAAAACATGTGAAAGACTGCTGATTGGCGGTACAATCAGAGAACCCCAATAGGCTCCAGAACCACCTTGTGAGAGCTGCAGAGTTCCCCTTGTCTCCCAAAAAATCACTTTCTGTCCCACCCCACACACCGCCCGCCTTGAAGAAAAGGGCCAAAAGCCACAGCACGAAGCACGTCGTCGCACAGAAGTACGCCTCCCAAAGACTTCCACCCGTCTTCACCCCCACTGGATCCCCCACCCGTCTTCACCCGTCGGTTCAACCGTCGGATCCCGTCGGCGCGTGGGAACGATGTGGATCGCTGAGGCGTACGACCAGATCGGTGGGTCTAAGGATTCCGTGAGGTGACCGAAACAGGGATGGAGAGCGTTTCTGAACCTTCCCAGCGACCCTCCAGGTGGATCGAGGTGACCGAGGTGGACGAGTTGAGTGTCTCAGTTTCATGGGATCGAAGGACCGGCTTTTCATGGGCCATGGGTTCATCTTATCCCAAGCACCACCTGACGGCCCACCAAGCTGGACTCAGACCCGCCAGCTGAAGAACCGCAAGACCGCATTCAGGGGTGCCCTCCCTCGGCCGCATGAGAGAAACTCGTTCTTCTCCAAGATGTTCTTCTACCCCCCAATCCCCATGCCACGTCGGCCACGTCGGCCACCCGCGTCGGCCACCCGCGGTGGGGCGGGGATTCACCGCCTGGAACTCCGTCTGCAGCATCGAGGAGATCAACAAGGACATCCCAGCGCCCAGCAGGGCCCTGAGAGCGGCGAACATCCGAATCAGGACGCTACGAGTAGCAAATCGCAGTATTACTAGGACTAGGAGCAAAGGGCAGTACTAACTAGGGGCGCACCGAGAAGACCGGGGACGCATCTGGGAAGAGGCCCGCTTCTCGGGGCCTGTCTTTGGAACTCTTGGGTGGACCCCAAGAACTGCGAGCGGCATGGAATCAAGTGAGTCAAGCTGGTATGTGTGTCTTTTCCTGCTGATGGACAAATGCCAAGCGAATCCAGGCAAGAAAAGTGAACTCTCCACAGAAGAAACTCTACACTAGCAATCCAGTCCAACCTCTTTTGACGTTTTGGTGCCTTTAGGGCCTAAACATGCCGAAACCGAAGACCCTGGATCCAACCCACTGCATCGTTTCGCTGCATGAACGAGGTCGTGGAGCCGAGGTGACCCGGAGGATCGCGGAGGTGACCGGTGGCGAACACTCCAATCTACATAGCTCAGCTGATCTTCCTTCATGTTCTGAGATAGCATCCAGCCAACAAAATCTCCATGGCATCATGATGGGAGAACCAGGAAGCGAAGGACTACACAGGATGCTCAAGGTGTCTGTTTTGAAGACGATGCTAACACCTGTATCTGCATGCATCTGTCACCTTCTCGTCATTGCTCCAACAACAATCTCCACCCCAGTAGTTCTACGGGTCACCTCATCCAAAAGCATGCCTTTCTCTAATCTTCTGCTTTAGCTTTTGACCCATCATCTCTGGCGTGACTTCGAGACAAGTTCTCCCACTATTGACCTGCAAAGCTAGCTTGAATGGTCACCGACATGACTTTAGTTCTGCTAATCCTGATGTCTATGTTTGTCAACTTTGATCGCAGCCAAGCACGTAATAATGCAGAGCATGGTGCTAAACAATAGTGTGTACGGTATATATAATTCTAGCTATGTAAATGTCAAGCCCAGATGCAATAGATTCAGATAGATTCAGATAGAGTGATAGGAGTGATAGAGTGATAGGGATGGTCATACTGATACTGTTTATGATAGATAGATAGATAGATAGATAGGAAAGAAAGAAAGAAAGATAGATAGATAGATAGATAGAGAGAGAGAGAGATAGAGAGAGAGAGAGATAGAAAGAGATAGAGAGGGATAGAAAGAGATAGAGATAGAGAGGTAGAGACAGACAGACAGACAGACAGACAGACAGACAGACAGACAGACAGA